TGGTAGGTATTCCATTGTTTCATCCATTGACCAGCAATAACACTCGGGGTTACACCGCTTGGTCTCCTGCACACATAAAATGAAGAGAACAATACATGTCCATGCCCAGGCATGGCTGTGCACACCTGTAATCCCAGCACTCAGAAGAGCCAGAAGAATGGCAAATACAAACCCAGCCTGGGCAACTTTGTGAAACGTGTCTCAAAAAAACAAGCAAAAGCAAAACCTTGTCCAAGAAGTTATTGAGAAAAATGAAATCATATAGTATTTTAAGACAGTGAAGAGAAACATGTTACATATATCCATGTTCCCCTGCCTTTCTTTTCTTTCCCTCTTTCTTTCCATCTATCTTGAAAGTGACTGTAGCATACATGCAACTAAAAGTACTTCCCAATTGTTCATGCTAACATTAAACCATGGCTCTGATAATCTAGAAACCCAGGCAAGTTCAGAAATCAGTCCTATTTTGTTTTGGAATACCTTTTTCCAGAGGATTCATCTTCCTAATAGTTTTGCACAGGCAACTACAATGGGTTTGTTTCCTTATAGCACACAAAGGGAAGGGGCATGCTGGGTAACAAAGCCAGCAGTTAATAGAAAATTTAAAACAGAGACTCCACAAAGTAAATGCTATACATATGACTGCAGATTGAAATCTCATTTTACTACACAGACAAATCACTCTGCTGTGATGCAGCTTTGTAATAAGCACACCGCTAACACATTTCCAGGATTTAGAATGTGAACAGGAAAGAGGGCTTATTCCTGCCTCTCATCTGGAAGCTCCAAGAGGACAGAGTTCCTGCATGCCCTAGCCACCTTTATATCCCCAGAACCTGGTACAGGGCCTTCCAGAGTCTGCCCCCAACAAATAAATGTTGAAGGAATGAATAAAAATAATAATAGTAGGGGAATTAATAAATGAAATGTTCCCAGCCAGGGAGCAGAAGCGACATCTCATCCATCTTCACACCTACCCATTTCCTATTTGAAGCCCTCAGGAAGCCTTTTCTGTCACCTACCGCCTCCATCCACAGCTGGATTAGGTCCCCTTGTCATGAATTTTCATGGCAGGCAGGAGCTCTGTGTGCCGCACACATGAGGATTTGTGTCTACTTCCGGCACTAGATCGCACACTCCTTGAGGGAAGGGGCCGTGTGAATTGGAGGGGCACTGTAAAGCTCCTCCAACTCTTTATTTTGAAAAATCTCAAACACAGAATAGTTGGAAGATAGTACCATGAGTGTTCAGATGCCCTTGACTCAGAGTCAATAATTTTTATTATCTGGAGCCCCGTAAATTTTCTTCAGTGCTATGTCCCCAGGAGAGCTATGGGTAATATTGGGGTTTTGTTTTCCTTGCCTGGAATACAATGTTACCTTTACTGAGTAGGGTTAGCCTAGGCAGGGCACTTCAAGGGGAAACAAAGGCTAACTACCACTTGCTAAGAAGAAGAGAGTGCAGCAGCAATCTTCTTCTCAAGGGCATGCAATTGCTCTGAGATAGATGCCCCAGGCCAAGCCCAGCTAATTTTGTAGGGCAAAGTTAGCCCCTGCAAGTTTTTTCATTAGGGAGAATGATCATTACCTGGATATCCACTGGAGAAACCAAAACTTTGTGGGACTGGATCAAGCTAGAATCAACCAGACTGTTCTTTCTGGGGGCCAGCACTTGCAGTATGGACCCCAAAACACAATAGTGAAAGAAACAGCCCAGTGTAAAACATAGTAGATATGGCTTTTAGAGCCTGCCCTGTGCCTTGCAAGGTTACCTGGGATAAGTCATATAACCTCTCAGACTATATATTAATAGCAGCCCAACCCACCTTAGAGGCAGTAATCAGGTGGTAGGATACCCTAATGATCTCCAGTAGTTCTCTAATTATCTTACAGTGCCTGCAATATGTCTCTCCAACTAGACTGGAAGCTTAAAAACCATGACCTAGGTCCACTATTTTTTTGTATAGTTGATGTTATGGCTTGTATCTAGATGTCCCCCAAAGCCTCATGCAGTCATAGATGGGGCTTTTTGGAGGCGGCTGGATCTAGAGTATGTGATCCTAGGATTGATTCATGGTGTAATGCTAGGATTAAGGGTGCCCTGCCATGGGTGTGAGTGCTACTTGCCCTAAGGGTAGGTAGCCTGGATAAAATATAAGGGACAGAAAGAGAACTACTGTTGTCACTTGCTGCTTGCAACTTTACTGCCTTCCTGCCTTCTGCTTGCCATGAACTGTTTCTCCTCTGATACCCATCTGCCAAGACACCCTGTCTTGGAGCCAGCTGATTATGGACTGAAACTTCTACAAACCATAAGCTACAATAAACCTTTCCTCCTTTAACTTTGGGTATCAGGCATTTTGTCTCAGCAACAAGAAAAAGTAAGTCCACAAGGGCTAGCTATAGTGTTGGACATATCTGTCAAACAAATACCTATGGACACAGTGATAAAATAGGACTGTCATACAGAATCCTTTGTGGTGTTCAGTCAAATGGGATGGAATTGAATTATGCACACAAGAATTGAACTTAGTTGCATTCGTCCCCAAATATAGGCCCTACCTAACGCCTCTCAGGCTTGTTTAACCATGAAGGATATTTAACCACAGTGACTCTTAACCGCCTCTGACACACATGCACACACACACACATCCCAGGGTGCTACTTGCATGCCACCATGTTTCGGAGATTATTAAAAAAGAATTCCTAAACTAGCCATACTTAGGCTTATTCATGAGTCTCTTCCCAAACCCTAGATGTATGTTCCTTGGAAGAATCAGCAGCAAGGTCTCTGGAGTCAATTCTATCGTCCTCTAGTAAATTACAACTTCTTGCAGACACAAAAGAGAACAGAGAGACAAATGACACATAAATAAGAGCTTCACTGGCTTGGGGGAGGGAGGCATGGAGAGTGACGTCAGTTTTCCCAGAAACCCATTTATCACGATAACAAGGTCTCAAGTGCTTGGGCTGCTCTTTCAGCTTCGGAATCTGGCATACAATTATGTTCTTCAGTGTACAGTATGGCAAGGCCAGCCAGAGCCTACTGGAGCCATGCAAAGCAAACCAAGAGGCCCTAAACTACCCCCAGCCCCATCTTCAGAACAAAAGGGATCTTTGGATTGTCAAAATTGTGCTTAAGGGGAAACAACCTTCTGGAATGTTCCCCTTGGCAACATCGGTCCTGCAATCCTAATCTAGGCAATGGAGACTGGTGATACTGTATGGACAGGTCGATGCAAATTCATTATCTGATGAAAAAAATCATTAGTGTCATTTTTGGTCACTACAGAGAGCAAGGTTAATCCAGGAGACTATCTCCTCCACTTATGCTATGCCCTCTCTAAAATGCAGGTAACAAGGAACAGAAGCATTCTGGGAAGCCCTCAAAACACCACAGTGCCAATCTTAGGGGTGAAGAGAATTCTCTCATATTCCATCATCACAGGGTACTGGCTCCTATCTACCACTCGTCCTTCCACACTGCAGAAAGGGCTCTGTGCTGGGGTGTGCAGGCGCTGGGGAAGGTTCCAAAGAAATGATCCTGACCTTCCAGACTGGGGCAGGAGATGAAATAAACTCCCCTATCCTACAGAGAAAATACTGTCAGACTCTAGATTCAGATCTTGAAAACTAATCAATTTCAATTAAACCAAATACCACAGGCTGTTTTGTTGTTGTTGTTGTTGTTTGGGTGTTTTTTTCTTTTTTTGCATGGGAACTGCACTGCATGAACTATTTCTCTAAATAAATAAGCTACAAGGTTTAACATTATTTTTGTGGTTCACAGATTTTCACAAAGCAGTATTTGGTGTCACAGGATTTAACCGACCTCTACCTCACTCTTTTGTTTCAACTTAGGGTGCCTGTAGACTTCTTAAAATCTCAGATGCCCATGGATGAATAGAAAAGCTAGATTGTTCCTCAAATGGAATCATCTCTCTTTGCAACCAAACTTCTGGTCTGAGAAAACAAACATGGAGCCTCAGGTCACTTCGATATAATTTGTCTTCACACGCCAGGCTGGAAAATTTAGTTTTTTTAAATGAATTTTTTTTTTCCAGAGTTGGTCGCCAACAAAACGAGACGACACTGCTTTTGCAAGTCTCACTTTTATTTTCCCGAGTCCTCATAGAAAGAAGCCAGCTCCACAGGTTTTGGCAGACAAGCCCACTTACACTGAACACATACTTGAGACAGTCCCCCAGAGGCCCGCTCAGAAACGCAGCCACCTACAGACCAGCGAACTGCATCCCACACAGACGCACAAATGGGACCCAGAGGCACACAACACAAGCAGACACAGAGGCATTCACATGCGCCCATGCACACCACAGAGGTGACACACTCTCATCTAGGGTCACAGACAGAACCTGGGCGCCACTGCCGCCCGCCAAGGGAAGGCACGACGGCGCACGCGTGCACATATACGCGCGCACACACTGATAGACACACAGACGCAGTCACATATGTAATGCATATGGAGAAACCCTACTCCAGCCAGTCGTCTCCCCGCCCCCCTCACACTCTCTACCTTCAGCCCCAGGCTAAGCCTAGCCCTGTGTCCCTCTTCCCCAGAAAGCCCGAGTCCCAGCCAGCAGCTGTTCGCAGGGGCGCGGCAAGGCAAAGGGGCCAGGGACCCGGGGGTGGGGGTGGGGGGCTCTGCGGCTTGCGCGGCCATTCATTCGGCAACGCCCCAGCGGCGGGGCCGCAGCTGCAGCGAGGGAGGCGGTGGCGCTTGCTGCAGCTCTCCCGCTAAGCAAGTTGAGTTGCCCGCAGGCAGGCTTCGCCAGACCCCCTGCCCGCCCGCCTGCCCGCCAATACCGTTCTCCACGGTAGGCTGGGGGACCCAGCCGCTGACCCCGAGAGCAAAAGTCTCGCTATGCCTAGGCTCCTGGGTGCTGCCCATTGCCCTCCTCACGGGTGCTGTGACCGCGGCCAAGTCTCCTCGATACTCCCCGGCCCCTGGCCCAAGCGTTAGTATCCAAGCCCGGCACTCACCACCTGGCGAGCTATATCAGTCGCTGCCATCGCTCCTGCGTCCTCCAGGGCTGCCAAGGGTGCCGCCGCAATGGGAGCTACTGCACAGGAAACAGAGGAGCTCCTCGACAAAGAGAAAGTGTTACACTTCGGGCGCGACCAAGTCCGGTGGGGGGAGGTGCAAGGGAGGAGCCCCCTAGCCGCTGCTCCAACCCCAACTTCCCCTCTATCGCCCACCCCCTGGGAAGTAGGGTATGGGGAGGGGGCGGATTTAACGCGCTGCCTCCCCCTTACAGCGAACCCAGTTCCAATTCTCCTTTCAACCCCAGCCGTAGGCTTCTAAGAAGGGGGGCGGGGGCTCCCCTCGGTGACCACGTCCTCTGCCCCCCCCCCGCCACTGGGCTCCGTGGTATGGCCCGACCTCTGCTGAATTGTCACACCCCCCTGCTCTCCCTCACGTCCCCGAGTCCCCAGACCCGAGGCTGGAAGGGAGCCCCCGCCCCTCCCCCCTCCCGCCCCAGCTCCGTGGCTGAGCGCTGCAGTCCTCCTCTCCCTCTGCCTGGATCCCGGACCCCTCTTGCTCTCCACCGAGATCCCAGGGTGCTTGGATGCGAGCGCCGGTGGCCAGCTGGAGTCTCAAAGCTCCACTGTCGCCTACCCCACTCTTTGGCCGGGAGTGCTACTGAGGCTGAAGGGGTGGTGGGTGGCTGGGGGGTGGTAGAGGGGCTGCGGCACCTGCAGCTCCACATTGGAGGTTAAAAAGGGACGGTTAGAGGAAGCTGCGCTGCGGCCCCGCTAGTGAGCTGTGACTTGTGGAGCCTGAGGCCAGGGGTCCTGAGATGCCCCTGCTGCCCTGGGGTTCCCAAGCTTCGGATACTGTAATTTCGTAAAACCGAGCTCGCCACCTTTGGGTACTTAATACAACGGACCTCACGCTTCCTCTCTTCAACCCAGCTGTAGATGATCGGCGTGAGCACAGGCTCAGACTAACCCACTCTTCTAGCGTCGGGGCCAGTCTCCGGAGAGACCGAAGGTCCCCAGTTCTGTGGCTCTGTGGGTCGGGATGGAGAGACAGGTGAGGGGGAGCGGCCGCCAGTGTGATTCTCTCTATCTCTGCCTCTCTCATTCTCCTTTAATCCTAATTCCACCCGGGACAACGTAGCCGGCATTTTCGCAGAATGTAGAGCCCCCAAGGCTAGGACTTTGAGCGCCTGTCTCCTTTGCTCCTGCACTTCTCCACCTCTCCAGCCCTAGTGACCTCCCCTTTCCCGTGGGACTGGCCCCTTGCTAGCTCCCTGAAACAGGCGAGCAAAGCAAACTTGGCTTGCTGGAGCCCCAAGCGAGCAGGACATTGCACTCCCAAAAAAGGTTGATCCTTGGTCTCAGAGAGGGATCGGGAATGGGGGGGGGGGCTGGGAGGGTGCCCCGCAGATGCCCAGGGCGGAAGCTGCTGAGGGGGAGGCAGGAGAGAGGAGAAGGAACTGGGGAGAGAGGAAAAAAGAGGGGAGGCAAGGAAACTGAGTGGCCACGAAGGAACTTCCCTGGCACCAGATTCCACAGACAACGCTTCTCCCTCACTCAGGGAGCTCTTTATGTTCCTTGTGCACCTTGACAACAAGGACTCCCCAAAACGTGTCCCCAGTGCCCCGGTGCGGAGCCTTGTATTCAGGAAGTGCTCCGTTAAGAGTTTCCTGGACGGGAGAGAGACGGTTTGGGGGAGGGGACAAAAGAAAGAAGAGATACCAGGAGAGGGTAGTTGTAGGCACTGTCTGTCAGGAAGAGCCAAGTATTCCAGTTGGTGTGCACTGGGCCTCATCATTGCTCTGGAGACCCAAGAATGGCCTAAAGAGAAGAGCCTGGCACAAGCAGGGACCAGTATAGGGGAGTTTGGTGGGACAGATGGCACAGGCCCACAGGACAGATGGTGGTGGCAAAGAAGAGGGGCAGATGGAGTCTCTGAGACCCTCTGGAGTGCTGAGACACAGCCTGGGGGAGGGATTGGACCCTGGACTGCAATGGCAGTGACACTTGGGACCAGGGCTAAGTTTGAGGAACTGCAGTGAGGCAGTGAACCGATGGGGGCAGGGAGTCAGAGGTGACTGGCTGCTTCCCCCATGAGTGTCTGGTAGGGAAAGGTGTCTTCCCCAGCCAAGGCTGGGGCTGGGAGGATGGGATGGAGCCCCAGGCCACTGGCTCGGAGCTCTGACTGGTGCAAGGGGTTTGGGCAGGGGCAAAATTAGAGCTGCTAACTGGAGAGGTGGCAGGTGGTAGTCCAAGGCTGCTGGGCTCCCCAGGAATCCTACCTGCCTTCCCCACCCCCTCACCAGTTAGAGTTTCCTGCTTACCGAAGTCCCTTACATTTTCTCCTAGCACTGGAGCACCTTAGCTGGGAATCCTTGGTGCCCTAACCTCTTGTCCCACACTCCTGCCTGTCCCTGGAGACAATCAGAACCTTTCGGAGGGCCCTTCCTCAAAAGTGTAGGACCAGGTGTAGAATTCAAGCCTCCCACAACTCTTTGTCTCCTCCAAGCCCTGCCATCTGGCCCTGCAAGCCCCTCCTGGGGCCTGGGCCTCCTGGTTTCCATGCAACACGGTGTGTGTTGGTGTTGATACATAAGTAGGTGTGCATTTGTACATGTCAGTGTGTTTATCTGTGTCAATGTGTGTCTTGGCTTATTCACCTGGCTTGTTCATTTGTGTGTATTTGCTGATGTGGGTCTGTGGCGTATAAGGACAGATGTGGGCATACACCATTGTGTGCTTGTTGATGTGTTTCAGTGATGTGTTGGTGTATATATAAAGGTTTTTGTGACCATAGTGTGTGCTGGCTGGTGTATCAGTGTGTGTGTGTGTGTGTGTATATGTACGTCCATGTCAAAATGTAGAGAGGTTTTAGTTCACTGTATTCTGGATTTTACATACCTTACCTCAGCCAAGGAAGTGGACCAATGATTGAAGGATGTGAATTATAAAGTTCATTTCAACAAAGAAGTTTGGAAACTTCTCAGGTCCATGCCTCCCAGGTCACCTCCACAGGTGCAGGGGAAATAGAAGGGCTCAGGTGGCAAGAACTCTCATCTGTAATGAGTTGGTGGGTTTTCTTCCTTGACTATCTGTCCACACTAATGAATGAAGTGATAAGATCACTTTTATGAAAAGGTATTTTGGGACTCTCCGCACTGCCCTGAACAAACATGCATATTTAATGCGTCCTTGTGAGGTCCCTTAGGCCCAGCACAGTGCCCAGCAGGTGCTCAATCAATTTTTGTTGAGTGAAGTAATGTATGGAAGCATGTAAATGGGTCATTTTCAGCATTTCCATCGTGCTTAAGGAAGCTGGAGCAAGCCACAACTTCCCTGGGGCCAGCAGGTGACTGTCATTAGCATGCTAATGTTGTTTGTGGAGCCAGACTCCCCCGCCTGGGAGAGGAAGTGGCTGTCCTGGCTAGATTACAGTGAGCCCTGCTGGGAGCCAAACTTTAGAAAGGTCACTCTCACTGCTGAAGCAGGCCCGGGCACTAACACCAGATAAGATGAGGTGGGGGATAAAATGGAGCTAAGGGCTTAGAAAAAGACTTTGTCCTAAAACCATGGCTTCACAAAAGGAGAAAGAAAGGGACAGTAGAGTTGGTCTCAAGTGGAAAAACCCAGAGAACAATCTGAAAAGCAAGATCAGCAAGTTGGAGGAAGAAGATAAGGCAAGGCAGAAAGAAAATGATGTGGGGTTAACCAAATCCAGACAGCAACAGTTGAGTCAGAAACTCAGTGAAGGGGCAGAGTAAAGATGAACTAAAGATTACTTTGTGCTTTGTCACCTGCTGCCCCCTGCCTTACGTTAATTTCAGCGGTTCTCAAAATGTGGTCTTTGTCCAGCTGCATCAGCTTCATCTGGGAAGTTTAAAAAATGCAAATTATTAGCCTCTCCCTCCTCCAGATCTACTGAATCACAGTCTCTTGGGCAGGGACCCAGCAATGTGTGTTTTATCAAGTCCATCAAGGGATTCTAATTTACCCTAAAGCTTGCCAATCTCTGGTTTATCTGAAAATCTAGCCCTGGAAAGACAGGACTCAGGACTGGAAAGGATGGTAGGGTATGGAGGGAAGAATCTGAAGCCTGGGCCACTGCCAATAGTAGCAGATCCTGATGAACTTGGAGAATGGGCAGCAGGAGGGTATGGAGTGCTTAGGGTTAGGGAAGGGGTGCTTATAAAATAGTACATAATGAGAGAGTACATAATTGAGACCATAATGTTAAATAAAATAAATCAGTCACACAAGCTTAAGTATCACATGGTTTCTCCTATATGAGAAGCCCTGAGTAAAAATAAAAAGCAAAATACAAAATAGTTAATAGGAAGTAGGGAGACAGATGGTTCTCAAAGGGGAAGGGGATCAAGAGATGGAGAGAGGGTAGGAGGGAAGGAAGGGACAAGGGATGAAAAAAAGGAAAGGGATGTGTTATATACATGTACCAACTCCACACACAGAATGTAAGTATTGCAGACTGCAAATGTACCAAAAAATAAAAAGGAGGGACTCAAGAAATGAGTGGCAGAGAAGAGGGAGGGAAGGGAAAGGGGATGAAAAGGGAATTACTATGTGTTATGTGCATGTACAAGGAATGTAAATGTTATGTACTACACTCATGTACTAATTAACTAAATAAATAATATGCATAACCATTGGAAAAGAAGAAAAAAGGAGTACAGGAGATCCCTGTGTGGAGCTAAAAGGATTCTGAAGATAAACTTTGCTTCCTTTCGAATTTTACATTCATTCCACAAATATTCACTGCATCTCAGCTGTACATTAGTGACTGTGCCAAGTGCTAGAGGACAAAAGAACAAATGGGCAGCAAGAGCCCCTACCTCAACCTTAAGGAGCTTCCAGGCCACTTGGCAGATAGCTCCACAGATAACCAGTAATGTGATAAGGAATATAATCAGTCAGAAGCAAGACCCTGGAGAGGAAGAGGCCCAGGGAGGTGAGGGAAGTCACCTCAAAGAAGAGCCATTTGGACTGCGTCTCCCAGAAGGAGGAGTGGTTTATCTGGCAGTCAAGGAGAGAGTAGAGGAAACAGCGTGTGCAAGATCACAGAAAGGGCAGGGCTAGGGCTAGGGTATAGCTCAGTGGCAGAGTACACGCATGAGGCCTTTGGTTCCACCCCCCAGATCCCTGAAAAAATGGAGGGACGGGGAATATTTAGGGAATTCCAAGTCTTGACCAGAAGGAATGGTGGAGGAGACAGTGAGTATAAATGATATGAGACCGGAAGATAAACTGGGGCCAGATCTCCAAGTGTCACGTTGGTCGTAACAAGTTGCTTGGGCTT